CATGTTGGCGGAGTACTCGAAACAGTGCAAAATGGCACACAGGTCTCGCATGGAGGGAACTCATTTGTGGTGAAGTGGTGCTGCAGTTCCGCAGAGCAACTGACCCATGCGTGCTGCATCTGAAACTCCACTATTGCCTGCTGCTGCTTGCACAGTCTCTCCAGCATGTGCAAGGTGGAGTTCCACCTTGTGGGCACGTCGCATATGAGGCAGTGAGCAGGAAGGCGGAAGTTACACTGCAGCACAGACAGGTGAGCAGCAGCAGGGTGAGAATGCCGAAAGCACGCACAGACGGCCCGCACTTTCTGCAGCAGCTCTGATATATCTGGGTAGTTTTTCAGGAATTTCTGTACCACCAAATTCAGCACATGCACCAGGCAAGGGATGTGCAGCAAACCGGCTAGGCCCAGAGCTGCTACGAGATTTCGCCCATTATCACACACCACCAGACCAGGCTTGAGGCTCACTGGCAACAAACACTCATCGGTCTGTTGTTCCATGCCCGTCCACAGCTCCTGCGCAGTGTGGGGTTTTCACCCCAAACATATGAGTTTTAAAACAGCCTGCTGTCATTTTCCCCTGGCTGTGCTGAAGTTGGTGGTGAAGGTGTTACGCTTCCTGGATGAGGTAGTGGTAGAGGAGGAGGAAGCAGAGTAGGAGGCGGAGGCAACAGGAGGCAAAGACAAATGCCCTGCAATCCTCGGTGGCGGAAGGACATGCGCCAAACTGCTATCCACCTCAGCCCCAGCCACCACTACATTTGCCCAGTGTTCATTTAGGGAGATATAGTGTCCCTGCTCGTGCTTACTGGTCCACGTATCTGTGGTTATGTGGACCTTGCCACAGATGGAGTTGCGCAGTGCACACCTGATTTTGTCTGCCAATTGTTTGTGCAGGGAAGGGATGGCTCACCTGGAAAAGAAGTGGCGGCTGGGAACCACGTACTGTGGAACAGCCACCACCACCAGACGGAATGACAGCATTTCAAAGGCCATGAATTTTGAAATGCTTGCGTTCAGGGCCAGGGACAGGGATCGCGGGTGGCTAGGGGGGTACTTCCTCTTTCTCTCCAGTGTTTGGGAGATGGACAGCTGAACGCTTTCATGGAACAGTGTGGAGATGGTTGGGGAAGGTGGCGGACGTGGTGGCGTTGCTGCCACATCGTCTGTTTGCAGGGTGGCAGGTGCCACTGTTACTCGAGAGGTGGAGGAAGAGGCCGAGACAGAAGCAGAAGAGGAAGCAGGAGGAGCCTTTTTTGGTTTTTGAGGTGCTTACTCCACTGCAGCTCGTGCTTTGCATGTAGATGCCTGGTCATGCAGGTTGTGCTCAGGTTTAGCACGTTTATGCCTCGCTTCAGGCTCTGATTGCACAGCGTGCAAACCACTCATGTCTTGTCGTCAGCACATTGTCTGAAGAACTGCCACTCTAGGGAACTCCTTGGAGCTGGCTTTGGCGTGCTTGGTCCCTGGGTGCGGTGGGCAGTAGCAGGCATACCGTCTAGGGGAAGCCCACTACGCTTTTGCACCCTGCTCCCTCTTATGCTGTGCTGGGGCCTCTGTGCGACCACCGCCTCTTTCTCTAAACTGGACACGTCAATCGCATGACCTTCATTCCATGTGGGGTCTAGGACCTCATCATCCTCCACATCGTCTTCCACCCACTCCTCAACCCTGCCCTCCTTGCCAGTCTGCACACTCCCGAAAGCCACAGCAGTTGGCACCTGTTTTTCGGCATCATCAGAGACATGCTGCGGTGGTCCTTGCATGTCCTCATTCTGACACATAAGTGGTTATGCATCAGTGCACTCAATCACTTCCACTTCTGGGGCAGGGCTAGGTGGATGGCCATGGAAACCATCAAAAGTCATCAAAAAGCATAAGAGACTGTTGCATGACTTGTGGCTCAGACTGCTTGGGTGATTTGCAAGTGAGTGAGGTGATAGACAGATGGCCATGGGCTGCAGGTGCCAACTCTGAGCTTTCAGCAGGGCACCAGGTGGGAGACAATGTGCAGGAACTGGAGGCACTGTCAGCAATCCAATCTACTATCGCCTGTACTTGTTCTGGCCTCACCATTCGTAGAGCGGTATTCGGGTCTACCAAATAACGCTGAAGGTTCTGTCGCGTACTCGCACATGAGAAAGGTGTTTCACTTGTGCGTGTAGCTGGCACAGATTGACCACGTCCTCTCCTTGCAACAGGGATTCCAAAAAACACCAGCAGCACCATGACCAGAGCCACGTCCCTAATTTGACGCTCTCCTCATTCTTTGCGTTCACCCACAAAACTAACAGATGATTTATGTCAGGCAACAATTTTTTTATTTTTTTTATTTATTGGACTGCAAGAAATGCACCGCAGGCCGCAAATGTACTATTAAGCACCCAAAAAAATTGAATTTTTGAAAGTGCGATGTAACCACAATATTAGATGCTTCGATTAGACTCTCAGATATGAAGAGCAGGTCCCAAAATGTACTATTTAGCAGATTAGCAGCAAAACAATTAGAATTTTTACAATTGCGCTGTAACCGCAGTATTTGACGCTTCGATTTGACTCTCAGATATAAAGAGCACACCCCAAAATGTACTATTTAGCAGATTAGCACCCAGAAAATTAGAATGTTTACAAGTGCGCTGTGAGCACACTGTTAGACGCTTCGATTTGACTCTCAGATATGAAGAGCAGGCCCCAAAATTTACTATTTAGCAGATTAGCAGCAAAACAATTAGAATTTTTACAATTGCGCTGTAACCGCAGTATTTGACGCTTCGATTTGACTCTCAGATATGAAGAGCACGCCCCAAAATGTACTATTAAGCAGATTAGCACCCAGAAAATTAGAATTCTTAAAAGAGCGCTGTAAGCGCACAATTAGACGCTTCTATTTGACTCTCACATATGAAGAGCACGCCCAAAATGTACTATTTAGCAGATTAGCACCCAGAAAATTTGAATTTTTACAAGTGCGCTGTAAGTGCAGTATTAGACGCTTCTATTTGACTCTCAGATATGAAGAGCAGGCCCCAAAATGTACTATTTAGCAGATTAGCAGCAAAACAATTAGAATTTTTACAATTGCACTGTAACTGCAGTATTTGACACTTCGATTTGACTCTCAGATATGAAGCGCACACACCAAAATGTACTATTTAGCAGATTAGCACCCAGAAAATAATAATTTTTACAAGTGCGCTGAAAGCGCACTATTTGACGCTTCTATTTGACTCTCAGATATGAAGCGCATGCCCAAAATGTACTATTTAGCAGATTAGCACCCAGAAAATAAGAATTTTTACAATTGCACTGTAACCTCAGTATTTGACGCTTCGATTTGACTCTCAGATATAAAGAGCAGGCCCCAAAATGTACTATTTAGCAGATTAGCACCCAGAAAATAAACATTTTTTTTACAATTGTGCTGTAACCGCAGTATTTGACGCTTATATTTGACTCTCAGATATGAAGTGCACACCCCAAAATGTACTATTTAGCAGATTAGCACCCAGAAAATAAAAAAAAATTTACAATTGTGCTGTAAGCGCACTATTAGACGCATCGATTTGACTCTCAGATATGAAGAGCAGGCCCCAAAATGTACTATTTAGCAGATTAGCATCCAGAAAATTTGAATGTTTACAACTGCGCTGTAAGCGCGCTATTAGACGTTCCGATTTGACTCTCAGATATGAAGAGCACGCCCCAAATTTACTATTTAGCAGTTTAGCACCAAAACAATTAGAATGTTTAGAACTGCGCTGTAAGCGTACTATTTGACGCTTCTATTTGACTCTCAGATATGAAGTGCACCCCACTAAAATACTATTTTGCAGTTTAGCACCCAAAAAAAAAAAAATTTAAGTTTTAAAACTGTAATGTGACAGCAGTATTTGATGCTTCTATTTGACTCTCTATTTAGCACCCAAAAAAATGACTTTTTAAAACTCTGATGTAACCGTGGTATTTGACGCTTCTATTTGACTCTTAGATATGAAGTACACCCCACTAATGTACTAGTTTGCAGAATTATTTTCTAATCTGTCCCTGAAAGCGGCAGCATCCTCTCCCTACACTAATAAGAGCTCATGTGACATGCAGCGCTGCAAGACTCCAGCTTACATATAGAGGATGGGTCACATGCTACTCTGTCCAATCACAACCATGTCATTAGCTTCTAAGGGCACACGACTCAAACGCTTGTTGATTGGCTGCCCTGCAGCCTTTGAAAATGCACCATTAAATTGCCGAACACCGAACTCCAACCCGTACATACAGTGATATGTCCGGGTCAGGGGTCCAAAAAACCTAATGTTCATTACGAACCCGAACTTTACAGTCCGGGTTCGCTCAAATCTAGTTTTAAACCATACAATCATATTTAGGGAAATCTCAAATTATGATTAGACATTAAACATTAATATGTTTGTAAGCAAAACCATAGACTGTGCAGAAATGCATATGTAAATATAGACAGTGTGGCCCAAGGCGTATCCAGGGCCGGACTGGCCCACCGGGATACCGGGAAATTTCCCGGTGGGCCGCGGCACCTGGGGCCGGTCTGACAGCCCTAATCATTGGGCTGACAGCTCCGGCCGCACAGAGCCCCATGGGAGCAGGGGGAGCCGGCCGGCACAGCTCACACAGGGCCGGCCGGGATCATTAAAAAATAATAAAATTGCGGCGGGGGCGGAGCTTAGTGCGACGGGGGCGGGGCTAACTGGGCTTAGCGTGCGGCGGGGCGGGGCTTAGCGTGCGGCGGGGGCCTGGCTGACTGCAGCATGGGAAGCAGGTAGGAGTCCCTGCTTCCCCAACAACCAGCCTCCAGGAACTGCAAGCAGGAGGGAAGAAGGAGGTCAGTGTGTGAGTGTGAGTGTGTGACTGTCTGTGTGTGACTGTCTCTATGTGAGTGTGTGACTATCTGTGTGTGACTGTCTCTGTGTGAGTGTGTGACTGTCTCTGTGTGTCTGCCTGTGAGTGTGTGACTGTCTATGTGTGACTGCCTGTGAGTGTGTGACTGTCTGTGTGAGTGTGTGACTGTCTCTGTGTGACTGCCTGTGAGTGTGTGACTGTCTCTGTGTGAGTGTGTGACTGTGTGTGTGTGACTGTCTCTGTGTGACTGCCTGTGAGTGTTTGACTGTCTCTGTGTGACTGCCTGTGAGTGTGTGACTGCCTGTGAGTGTGTGACTGTCTCTGTGTGTGTGTGACTGTCTCTGTGTGACTGTCTGTGAGTGTGTGACTGTGTGAGTGTGTGACTGCCTGTGAGTGTGTGACTGCCTGTGAGTGTGTGACTGTCCCTGTGTGAGTGTGTGACTGCCTGTGAGTGTGTGACTGTCTGTGAGTGTGTGACTGTCTCTGTGTGAGTGTGTGACTGCCTGTGAGTGTGTGTGAGTGTGTGACTGCCTGTGAGTGTGTGAGTCTCTGTGTGACTGTCTCTGTGTGACTGTCTCTGTGTGACTGCCTGTGAGTGTGTGACTGTCTGTGTGACTGTCTGTCTGTGTGAGTGTGTGACTGCCTGTGAGTGTGGGACTGTCTCTGTGTGAGTGTGTGACTGCCTGTGAGTGTCTGACTGTCTGAGTGAGTGTGTGACTGTCTGTGTGTGACTGCCTGTGTGAGTGTGTGACTGTGTGAGTGTGTGACTGTGAGTGTGTGACTGTGTGTGAGTGTGTGACTGTCTGTGTGGGACTGCCTGTGTGACTGTGTGACTGTGTGAGTGTGTGACTGTGAGTGTGTGACTGTGAGTGTGTGACTGCTTGTGAGTGTGTGACTGTCCCTGTCTCTGTGTGACTGCCTGTGAGTGTGTGACTGTCTCTGTGTGAGTGTGTGACTGTCTCTGTGTGACTGCCTGTGAGTGTGTGACTGTCTCTGTGTGAGTGTGTGACTGCCTGTGAGTGTGTGACTGTCTCTGTGTGACTG